TTTATAGTGTTTTGATAGAATTTGATTCAGAAACAGAATTAGTTAAAGATTGTATGATTAAATGGGCACAAAATATTCAAGAACCAATTATGTTAGATACATGGGAGGTAATTTGGGTAAGAAATGTCAAGTTCACCCAAGCACAGAATTTAAGGGAAAATTTTTATAAAATGTTTTATAGATGGCATCTAGATCCCCATAAATTGTCTTGCATGTATCCAAACTTGCAGCCAAAATGTTGGAGATGTGGTAATTTAGACACAACGTATTATCATATTTGGTGGACATGTAGGGATGTAAAGGCTTTTTGGATTAAGATCTGGTGGAATATTCAACAGATTTTTAAGAAAAAGATAAAATTTACACCGCAATTATTTTTATTGGGTATTATGGAAAATTTGGATCCTAAAGAAATGAATTTGATGTTGTATTGTATAACAGCAGCAAGATTATTGATTGCTCAAAACTGGAAGAAAGAGGTATTACCGACTATGGATGATTGGAGATTGAAGGTGTCATATTTTGCAGAAATGGCAAAAATTTCCGCATACTTGAAGGATCAATCTAAAGAAAAATTTATTTCGGTGTGGAGAAGATTGATAGATTACCGTATATGAAGAGAAAGTATGAAGTGATTAATTATCATATAGCTTTTGAATAAATATTTTTTTCTAATATTTTCTATATATTTAATATAATTTATATATATATATATTAGAATCAGTGAACAAACACGAGCACTAGGGAATATGATAAAATAATTTAATATTAAAATACTAATAAAACTTGAGCAACAGGGGGAGGATAAGAAAAGCTGCACCATCACTGACTTGAGCAACAGGGGGAGGATAAGAAAAGCTGCACCATCAGGAAAAAGACGGGAAAAGGGAATAGGGGGAGTGCTGAGAGGCAGATTGCTGGCTGGGAAGGGGAAAGGGAAAAGACCGCAACCCCCGATCATTGCATTTGCAAGGATAATTACATCGGAACAAAAAAGGGGGGAGATAAGAAAATAGGAGGCTGTACCACCAAAAAGGGGACGGGGAGGGGGGGAGACGTTGGAAAACGAGGTGGTGCGACGTGTACTCGATTATGGACTAAGAAGTGTGGAGCGGCATTGGGAAGGACCCAAGGGGAAGGGTATGAAAGTGGTATGGGAAGGAAAACAGAAGATGGATCTGAGTGTGTGAAAGGAGATCCCCCATTGACATCCAGCTCTAAAAAAGAAAAATTCTCTGATGCTAGCTGTACGGATGAGAGGCGCGGGAGGGAGGAAGCTGTTACCAAGGAACCGGCGTCAGGAACGTGCCTAGTCATGGCCGGCCCAATAACAAGGTCAAGGAGCCGTGCACACACGCTAGTCAAACTATAAAAACGACTCTCCCATGGACTGACATTTTGAGCCCTGAGGACGTCGGCAGATGGCCGACGAAAGCTAGGTGTTTTAATTGGCGTTTTATTAGTATTTTAATATTAAATTATTTTATCATATTCCCTAGTGCTCGTGTTTGTTCACTGATTCTAATATGGAACTACCTAGGGATCACATTTTTAAAGAAATTTCTGATATATATATATATATATATATTATTTTTAAGTTTATTATTGTATGTTAGAGTTAAAGTATGTTAAATTTTGTTTGTATTATGAATAGATAGCTTACTTTAGATTTGGGATGTTATGTATTTATCCCTGTACTCAGTTCTGGGAAGTCTGAGGGGGAGGGGGGAAGGGGATGAAGGGGTAGAATTATAAAAAAAATTGTGTATTTATAAATGTAATGTAAATGTAAATGTTTGTTTTTAAGAAGAGGAGATGATCGGCTAGTACCCCTAAACTGCATCCGAGGTGGTAGAAAAGAAGGTGATGGGATGTGTAGGATAGCTGGGAAGGAGGAAAGAGGAGAGGTAGTGGTCAAGAGGGGGAGGAAGGAGAGGGAAGTAGGTAGGAAGGTGGAGGGAGTGTGGATGCAGGGGGGGGGACGCCGATTATTTCGGAATAGGCTTTTTATGTGTTTGTTTTTCTAATAAAATGCACCATATTTGTACTATTTGTTCATATTTTATTTGAAAAATTAATAAAAAAATTTAATAAAAAAAATAGCTGAAGGAATAAGCAAAGAAATCACAAAATTCTTCCGTCATAAATTGACATGGTGATCTTAAGCAGGCCACTCTTTTTTTGGCTTCAGGTCCATGTCTACCAGTTATTCACCTTATATGGATATTGCAATTTAAATAATACATTTTTATAATTAGATAACCTAAATTGAAGATAACCTGCATTAATTATATCTAGTGGTTTAAAATACTGTAGTTAGCACTTATTGTTGTTTTCTACCAAACACTAAGAATACTGTTACACGTAGTTCTTGTTTTGAATTCACAACTGGGACTGGCAAGTCAGTTGTGAAGCACAGTAGTCTAAGTGATCTTACTTCAGCTTTGCTTTACAGACCTGTGAAAGTTGTAAATGCAAGGATTGGTTGCAAAGGTACGTTTTCATCACTGTGGATGCTGCGAACACTCGCTAAACAAGGCAGTCACTAAATGAAGACTACCTATATATTATTCATAAAAAGACATATTTCTCAATCCTACAGTTGTGAAAAAGATATTTATCTATTACAATATTTTAAATTAAATTTGTTACCTAGATACAAAATTGCTTATGTCTGTTAGCAATATATTTTCATAAAAGTGGATGAGATAAGCCTAAAGTCTCATTTCAAGTATTTTATTCACAGCTAAAAAACAAAATATGTAATGTCAATAATGATAAAGAAAATAAATCAATTACTTTTCCAGGAGATGTCCAGTTTTTAATCCTTTTCACTCAATTTTTAACCATTTCCGCTGTTATTATTAGGTGCATTTGATTGTTACTAAATTCATCTTCACATTCTTTTATCTCTATTCTAATTCTAATTGTTCTAATAATTCTAATCCTAATAATATTCTGATCTCTTATATGATTATTACTATTATTTATTAAATTATATGCCGCCCGAGTTCCAATGACTCTGGAATGTTTACAAACTGTCAAAAAATATTTTCAAACAAAGAAACTATAAAAAGAATAAAGATGGCAGAAATAACATCAATAAATAAAAGGAACTGAACTTTAAATGGGGTTAAGTAAAATGATGCTTTACCTTGCAACAGCAGAAAAGCCTTCCTCCCTTCCACTTAAAAGGAGACTATTCTGCTGGCATCTCAACAGAGCAGCAACGTTAACTTCCAGTAAAACAATTTTGTTCTCCAACATAGAAGTCAGCAAACAGAAAACCTGCAGAAAGACAGCCATAAAGCATTTCTCTCTCTTTAAAGCAAACAAATCCCTCCCTGGTAAAGAGGTTTGTATCAAAGAATGGAATTCTACTCATTGAAGATCCATCTGGGAACATTGGTTGGAGGTTAAAATGGTAGAACTTTGGTCCAAGAATGAGAGACGCAGACCAAAAAGGAATGGACTTTTCTTGTGCTGAGAGAATAGGGAGAAGGAGGGCTAAGTCTCAGTCTTGGTAAAAGGTGCATAAAAGGGGTCTGTGGGAGAGCTTAGTGTTGATGAACATATTGGGAGAATGAATACATTAATTATAGGCTGGGGGTGTGGAATTATTAAAGGTGTATGTTATTGCTTTGGTCCGAGGATGATATCTCTAACCCCACTCTCTTCTAGCACTGATGATGTTACTTAGTTGGGGTAATGAAATGTCTGCAAGAAAACAACTAAGCTCAGAGAGCACCATCTCAACTCTGAGCTGCAAACATTCTACTTTATTGATGGTATCTCTATCAATGGAGAGTCTCAAAGGCAGTTTGAGTGGGGAAAGCCACTGGTGCAGCCAGGAGGGACCATATTTGGGAGAGGAGAATTACAGCATTGACGGATAGAGATATTATGATGGCAGGCAAGGATTTGTTACTACAAGAGAAGAGAGGTTGGAAAGTTTGTGGCCAATTTCTACTTTTAGCCCTCCAGTCTCTAGTCTTGAACAAGGTAATGGAATTGCTGAGAGTCTTGGGCTCAAACTGATGCTGTGGAACGTTAGGTGTGTCGAAGACTATATTGTTGGATGATTTATTTATTGTAGAAAGTTGTATTTTTTTTCCTATTTTTTATTTTTATTATGTGTACTTCTAAACCATTTAAATTTGAAGCAATTTATATCACACCATATATAAAACAAAATTAATTTGCCGTTTTTAAATGAGAAGAGATTGTCTTATATTGAAAATTTTAAAATCAATTTCTCACCTTACCATTGACTGCCTTCCGCCTTAAAGCACAGGATCCAGCAATCTGAATACTAAGACCAGTGAAATCTTCACATGCAACCAAAGATAAATAAAACAAAAAAAATTAAAAATTCATTAAAACAATGGTGAGATCCTGAGTCCACTTCATTTCTCATATGCATTTTGAAATAATACACAAAATATTTTAATTCGAACATTTCGGAAATTAATATATTTCCAGTGCAATAATCACAAATTAAGAAACAAATAAATGTTAATGAATTGTTTATCTGCATATTGTTCACTGCAAGCAGAAATCAAAGTCTTCTATATATGAAAGTAATGTAATATTTATTTATTAAAAGAGAGGAAAAAGAGTACAGATTATCTTAAATACATCACCTTTGTAATGTAAAGCAGCTTCCAACTCAAAGTTTGCGTTGTTAATTATGAATAAACCAGTAGAGCTTCCAATCCACAAATACTGGGTACTCACATCAGGAAATCTACACAAAAACAAAGTATAATTTTTTTTAAAAAATCCTCAAGTATCTTCATTTTATATACAAGAATATACTTTTACATGTCATGGCTTTATGAACTGGAAATTATGCACAGATAGAATTTCTAACACTTACGATCTGCAGCCTTCTTCCAAACAACATCTAAATCTGTTTTTTAATAACTGCTCAACATTGAAAGAGAATTATTTAGAATTAATTATCACAGCAGTGTCAGAAAAGGAGCCCTAAACAAGACACAATTCAAACAATAGCACTTCCCTGCAAGATGCAAGATGAGACTTTTCTCTGTTTTGATTTGTCTGATTTATAATTTGCATATTTTTTATTTAAAATGTTGATATTCTATATTATTTAATTATCACAATATCCCAACTATACAATAACCTTTAACAGTTATGGTAACATTTAAACCTACTACAGAATATAATATACACCTATCTGATTATTTTTTTACATATTATAATGTAATAAAGAAATAGTGTGTTATAAAACATAAAATAAAAAACAGTTGCAGGAATTGGGTATGTCTAGTTTAATGAAAAGAAGGAATAGAGGTGACATGATAGCAATGCTCCAATATTTGAGGGGCTGCCACAAAGAAAAAAGGCTGAAAGGCAGGACACTTCCTGATAGTGTGAGCAATTAATCAGTGGAACGACTTGCCTCCAGAAGTTGTGAGTGCTCCAATTTTTTTAAGAGATTGGAAATTTTTAAGAAGAGATTGGACAACCATTTGTCTGAAATGGTAGTTGAAGTCCACGAGTCATAAAAGAGCCAAGGTTGCCTACCCCTGGTATAGAGTTTCCTGCTTCAGCGGGGGGTTGGACTAGAAGACCTCTAAGGTCCCTTCCAACTCTGTTATATTGCCTTCACTTCCACTGAAGAACCCACTCACCTAGATTCTTCATCACCAAAATTTGCTGGGTTATCACAGTGTTCAATTCTAAGGACTGGAAAGGTAGTTTCAACCGCATCTTCTTCTTCTATATTGCTTACAGTACATGTCTGAGAAATATTCTGCTTCTGATCTGGAAAATGCAGAGATGTGATTATACCAGAAATAGATTACTAAGATATTCAGTGAAAACTACAAGAAAGTGTAGCTTAATAAGTTTTTATTAAATGTGTATTCGTTGGTCAATTTCTGTGGTGAGACTTTCGATTATTTTACAGTGAAATACACTACATTTCTTATTTGTAGTTTTGGAGCAACATATGGTTTAGGTTCAGTTTTGGAGCAAAAAATATGGTACAAACTCAGCAAAGCACATCATTGTCCGTCACCTATCATGCTTGTCTTCACTGACTTCATGCTCTGGTAATATTGGCATAACAAATTTAAATAACATACAGCAGGGATATTTCAAGTTTTTCTTAATTTCTGAGTTGTCCCTAATTTCTTTGCATCCTTTATGAAGGCACTTCATGTTTGAACAATAGAATTAATATCTTCCAATCAAAAAGTGTAAATTAGAACAGCACATGTTCCATTAATTATTCGCCAACCAGTAAATTGTAAAATGTCTTTACCCAACATTACCCAAATGCTCAAACTTTGTTATTTTGTTGTAAAACTTTTTTCTCTCTTTCTTTATATTAATATGAATTACACAGCGATATTGATGTCCACTAATCAAGCTGAAGATCCACAGCTGAAAGAAAAAGAACACAATCACTGTAGCTTACTTTTTCACATTAATCACTGTAAAAATGTTTTTAATTTTATTATCTCAGTTCAGTGGTAAGCATGTGACCACTGAATTGAGATAATATTCCATATCTTTTCAGTAAAATGATTGCAATTAAAACCCTCAGTTTCTTAAATTTCACCAATGTTTTGGCAACCAACGTCTTCTATTTTGACTGGCTTATAACGTACAAATTAAATTCACTTTTCCTGGCATTACAACTTACTTTTTATAATTGCAGTATAAAATGAGTGAAAATAAGCAATCGCTATATATGCAAAAGTTATATATGTATATAAAAGAGAAATATATAAAAGGTATTTAAAAAAATTATGGAAGAAGGCAATGGTCAATTACCTTGTCATTTAGAAATAGATTAATTTGAGACTTCAATAGAAGGTGTATATTATTGAACTATGATCTAAACCGGCTCATCAGAAATGAAATATGAATTTTCTATCTAATATTATAATAGTAAATTACAAATAGTCACACTGTGTATGCATCTGTTACCTGTCCATCTGCACATCCAGTGATAATCTGTTTATTTGCTTCGTCAATAAAGAGACTTAAAAGAGGAAACGCTGTTAAAAAAAAGTCCTCCTTGTTATTAATGTATTATAACAGAAACTCTAGCACCATCTATAGTTCATTTAAAACTATTCTATAATACAAGCAGTCCCCCATATTAATAACCAGTTCCATTCCTAAATTTGCCTTTAATCTGAATTTGCATATAAGTCAAAGTAATACTTACAAATGGACTGCCCTATGTCTAAAAATGGCAAATGGTGGTATTCTTCCTCAAGTGAACACACTGCTGATGCTGCACAATGTTTTCACAAATTGCTAAAAATAACTGTATATTAAGAATGTGCAACTTCAGAGGTTTGAATATCACACTATTCAAGCTCATATTAATCACAACTCACTTGTATTGCACAAAGGTGCTGCAGACAAAAGCCTGAGTTAAGAATATAATTTATGTTTTCTGCCTTCCCCCATCTCACAGCTTCTCCATTTCAAACTCTCTTTCCAGAAGCTGCTTCCCAAAATTATTTAGAAATCTTTGGTTGAAAACTTTGTTTATTTTATTTATTAAATATATATGATCCCTGATTCCCAGAGATTCTTCATTCCCATGCAATGAATCTTTATGCTTCCTACCCTTGCAATGAATTTCTTATGGATATAGAAACAGTGTTGAATAGGTAGCTACAGCAACTGCCCATTCTGCCAAGCAATAATACTAGTACACATTGTTTTATAAAAGGAACATAGGTTGATAATGAATCATATGCATCTAAAACCTACCTGTTATTACTGCTGATTGATATATTAGCAATCCAATACAGTAATCCCAAACCTTTTGAAAAATACATGAGATTAAATAGTCAGTTTATCACCATGAAAACAACGAATGTGATGCCTTGTAAATAATATATAATAACAATAACAATAACAATAATAATAATAATAATAATATCAAAATTTCAAATAAATTATTCACTATGCTGCTAGCACTTCTAATCTATGGAATTAAAGATAGCTCCTGGTGTTTAGAGAAAATTACACCTACAATTCACCTAATTTAAATTCTCATGAGAGTAAAATATCATTATTCCTCAACCAAATATAAAACAACAATTTTTTCAGAGGAAACTAGATTTGCTACGCTCTTAAACTCCAATAAGTTTTCAACTGATTTCACAGTAGTAAAAATATAGAAAACAAGCAATACAGAATGACCAAAAGTTAATGATATTTGTTAATATTACAAAGTTTGTCGTTCTCTTCCTAATATGAATTGCTTTTCATAATGCTTACTTCTCTGATTTAAAAAATCTCCATTTTATAATATTTAAGTGTTTTTACTTTTATAAGTCTGCAATCAAAAAGTACAAAAGACAGAAACAATGGACTTACCTTAAAACTTCTATCTTCAGAAATCGATATGAGTATATTTTTCTCCCAAGTACAAAATTCAGCAGCAGTTACTGGTGCTAGATGGCCTTCCAGTTCAGAAAGTATTGCTTCATCCTGCCATCAATACAGGAAAAAAAGTAAATGACATTTGTTGGATTTGACAGAATTTGGTTATTTATAACCTTTTAATAGATTGATGTGAAAAATTATAATGCTAATATGGTCACAGACAAATTTAACAACCTTGATTGATTTAAGCAAATTTAATTAAATTTCAAAGCTATCTTACATATAAGGGAAAAAAATCCCTCAACCTTATCGCATATCTCTTAAGCAAAGCCACTGAACCACAATTCTGTTTTAGTTATCACTTCCATTAAATATGAAATGAAAATTCCATTGCCACTTTTAGGCTTCGCCTCCATGTCTTCTGTGTTACATTTACCCTCTATTTTAATATTAGATCTAATTTCATTATATATCGAGTTAATTTAAAACTGCTTACAAAAGCTTTGTACCATTCATATTTAAATTAAATCAAAATAATTCACAGCTTAGTTGTTGGACTGCAGGTGTTTCATTCACCGACTAGAAGTAATATCACCAGTTGTAGCAAGTTTGAATTTACCCTGTTTATATGGAGTAGCTTGCTCGGCCAGTGTTGGTCATGATCATTGAGCTTCCAGCAAGCAAAATCAAGAGCACAAAGATCAAGATGACACTGATCTTATATAGTTTATATTACATTCTAAGTAGTATATGAGCTAATTAAATAATATTTTACAATAATCAAAATGAGGATAGAGAGGGTGTCATTTCCCCTAGACTTTAGTTTCAAATATCAAGCAAATTACACATAGGCATTAACTAATCAAAGGCATGGATAATCTGTAACATACTCAGTGTTATTGTTATTGTATGATTCTTCTTGCTCTATCTACATGTCTGAATCAGTTTATTATCTTTATCCTTGAATAAAGCAACATAATCAGAGATAATCTGACTTATAGTTCATATCTTCCATTCGAATGAGGAAGGATGTTACATAACAAAATGGGTCTTGCTTATATTGTGAAGCTGGGACTTTGATCTTGCTTATACATAAGATGAGAAAATACTGCATTGTAAAGCAAGCAGTTTTTATTGTTCTATGGGGTTGCAAAGGTTATTGGGAATACCTCCTAATACCACCACATTGTTACTTTGAAAAAAAAACACTCTTCTTTTGCAAAACGACAAAAACAGCTTTCAACTTTTGCTTATTCTATGAAATAGTATACGTTAATAACCATTTATTTTACAAACTACATATGCAATAGAACTGTGCAAAGCATTTTAAAAGGAATCTACGGTAGGGCTGTGAAAAGCATTTGGAATGGAAGCTTTGCAAATTACTCTGCTGCAATCTTTTCCACTACACTAAAGCAGTGGAATCCATTGGAGGATACGGATGTGATTTTTTCCAAAGGCTATTCAAAAGCATTGTGTGCATTAGCAGCCACACTAGTGGGAATTCCAGTGGAAGCATTTTCTAATATGGTTTTACCTTTGCATTTAGCACGTAGATTCGATTACCAGCACATACTGCCACAGTCTGATCATCTGGACTAAAGCGAACATAAAGCACCATTCCCAGAAGTGTTCCTATCACAATACCTTGTGGCATTAACCCTGCATAATTGAAACAAATCATTTAATTATTAAAATTATTCCATCAACTGAAGAATCAGCAGTGATAAGTAAAACAAATATCCTAATGTCATACAAATGTTCTGAAAAAAATAATAACATGGTTATTATATCTTAAAGAACTTCTCGCAACATCCTATGAGTCTTCTCAGAAGTATTCCCCATTGAGGTCAGTAAGTTTATAACTGTATCCAGGTAAGTGGATTGAGAGGTACAGTTAAAGCAGCCAAATTGTTCATGTTGCCCTTCTACAATACAGATTCATGCAAATTGAATAGAAATTCAAGAAAAATTCAAATCTGCACATTGCATGCAAACATGATTTTGAATGTATTAGAAAAATAATACTCAGGGCTTGGGTTATAACCATTTATTCAGCAACCATCTGAAGTTACAGCAACACTGAAAAAAGTGACTTATGATGGTCCTCACATTTATGACTGATGCAACAGCCCCACAGTGACAGGGTCAAAATTTGGGCGCTTGGCAATTAGCATACATTATCAACAGTTGCATTGTTCTGGAGTTATGTGATTGCCATTTGTGACCTCCCTAAGTGACTTCCAATAAGAAAAGTCAATGAGGGAAATCAGATTTGCTTAACAACTGTATATTCACTTAAGAACTGCAGGGATTCACTTAAGAACTGTGGCAAAAAAGGTCATAAAATTGAGTGCAATTCATTTAACAGCCGCCTTGCTTTACAACAGAGATTCTGGCCCCGATTATAGTCATAAGTCAAACACTATCTATAAACATACATGAAAATAAAAGATGGGTTTATATTTTTATATTGTTATATCAGTCAATTTTCTCTGAATACAACCCACATTTGTATTCAGGTATCACATATACTACACTCAGAAATTGTTATTTGAAGAGATAAAATTTAACATTAATTTCTAGAAGGAGCTAAAGATTACAATTAAAGGGGAACATTCAAACTTGACCTTCCAATACCGGAGGAAGCAAAATATTTTAACATTGGACACATTTAATAAGATTTTTGAACAATGGAACTAGAAGTTAATAAGAGTGCCTACCTCTATAGATAGACTGTGATCCATAAGTTATTTCAACCACATATATCTCAATGTATTCCTATTATCTGAGTGAAGCATTCATTTTTTATGTATTAAAATTTTCTTTGGATTATGATTTCAACAAAACCTATTCAATACATGTGCTTTGTTCGAATCATAATGCAAAAAAACTAATCTATTTTCCATTGTAAAGAGATTCCAAGTGTATTAAATACAGCACCAAAAGCAGACCTTCTAGCACCTTCTTTGTACATTCATCCAGATTCCAAACTATCACATAATCATGGGAAGCAGAGCAAAGAAGGAGAGGATTGACTTTGGTCCCAAATGCCAGTGCAGTAATCGAGTGGTGATGACCTATTAAGCGTAATGGCTGAACAACAACAAAAAAAACACCATTTGGGTTATTTTTAAGGCGGATGCAGTGCACAAAATCAAAAAGTGTAAATTTCTTTTGAAATGTTCTTTATAGGCCTTAAGAGAAATATACAGTATAGATAAAATCATATTAGACATAGCAATATGCTTTATTGTTCCACCCTCACTTTAGCTTTCTAAGACTGCCTTCCCTTGCAAATATCAATCTAGGATAAGCTTTAGCAGGCAAAGTCCTGAAATAAGAGAAAGAAAATGAGGAAATATTTTTTCCATAACATTCTGTATGTGTTGGGGGGGAAGGGGGTGCGGGGGAGGGAATTGTAAAAAATGAAAATAGGAGGAAATGAAATATGGGCAGGTTCACAAGTAAAAGATAAGGATGGCTGAACCCTTGTAACGTTCTGTGAATGTGGCAGGGCAGTCGTAGAATGAAAACTTCATCTGGAATTGCACTAAGGAATCTGACATTAGGCAAACACAAAACTATGTTGCATCTTTGCCATAATAAATAGATGATAGAGTATCTATTTAAATATGAAAATATGTACTTTAGGTCATCACTGGTATCATATTTGCTGTTCCTGGACATATGCTTTTAACCACATCTATATTCATTTCAAAAGGATTGGCACAAGTGGTGCTTGCGGATTGCTTTCTCTAAAATGTTATTTTCAGCATTAATGCCCACAAAGAAACTTGTATTTAACCTGATGGTTGGGATCATCACTCATATTCCAAATACAAAGTTCATTTCCATTTAAGGGAAAAGCACAGTAATGGAGGCTACAAGCCAGTTGAACATGTGATTCTGGTACTTTCGATCTAAATACTTGTTTTTCAAGAACAATGTTGCTGCTGTTATATCCATCTTCAGTGGAGTACAGGTCCATGAGGTTTTCCATAGTATACCTGAGACATAATAAATTGGATATAATTATATCACTGATTACATTTAGAGGTATTTTGTATTTACACATCATTCGTAATATTGTGTACAGTACTTTATCCTTAGTGAAAGTAGTCCAGGGTCTAGTTTAGTCTCCCAAACTTATAAAAATAATTGAATAATTCTCATTTAAATCATTTTAAGATAAAGTGAATGATGCAATCTATTTAAATATGAATTATTGCACTAAAATGCGCAATTCCATAAGATAAGTCTGAGGGACTGCAGACAGAGGCAGGAGTTAGAATTTCTAAACTCTAAATTCCAACAATTCTATCAAATACAAGCAATTGTTCTGTGATGACATCTAGCAATTACTCAATAAAAGCTTTGCTTGGATGCACTCCAGACTATGCAATCCATATAATAGAATTCTGTGCCTTAATTAAAATTAGTAAATAAATTACAGCATAGGATTTTATGGACTATATAGGCCCATCATTATAAAAGTACAAATCATATTATATATGGAAACCTAGATTTATAATAATCCTCTAGATACCATTTGCACATTTTAGATTTATCAATTGTGATGTGGAAAATGAATATATATTACTGGTTTTAATTTGTTCCTGGTCAGAAAGAGGATATTGGGAAAACATAACAAAAAATGCTACAGCAAAGAACTGGGATTCATGTGGATCTTTTTAAATTAGGCAAGGAAATACCTCTGCAGGCTCATTGTTGCCTTGTAGCTATAGTTCTTACGGTCCTCACAAGGTTATGTTTTCTTGAAGTACCATAAAGTAAGGTTATTTAAGGCTTGCTGCCTTATGTGAACCCGGCCAGCTTGGTTTATAAAACGGTTTCAGATCTAAGTTGCAAATTTCTGGCCAACCACTGAACAGCAACAAAGAGCTCGCTTGTTATATCTCATTGTTGCCAATCTAGTTCTTCTCTAGATTTTGGGAGGTCAGATCAGGTACCTCTAAAATACCTTCTTTTTTTTTTTCCTTTTTTTTAGTTTTGCAAGCTCCTTGAGCCCAGGCAGTTCCGCTTTGCTATCGCGGAGAAACCAACCACGGTACAGCCTGTCGTTGGACTCCAGCCAGGATTTTCTGCGAGCAAGAGGTCCGCGAGAGAAAGAATCCTGGGGAAGAACTGAACTTCGTCGGGATTTTCTCCCGCGAGGATCCCACTGTAACAGTGGGGCGTGAAATATCCACGACTGTTGGGGACGGAACGAAAACACGATTGAGTACAGTGCAGATCCCTGCAGCAGGGCAGCCCGGTCGCGCGCCGCACTTTTTTCAACGTGGGTGGCGGGCAAATCAACCCACGAAGACGTCAATCCCAAAGAAGCCTCCTGCTCGGGAAACGGTCCTCGTTATTGTCTTTACCATGCGTGGTTGCCACGAGTGTTGGTCGCCGTCTCCCGTATGCAAGATTAGACGGTGAACATAAATCCTTCCCAGCTGAGCGCCCGAATGTGACGGTCGCCTGGTTTCCTAGACAGCAAAGACGCTTACGGCAAGGCCTCGGAGCCAATTCTAGACGTTGCTTCGTCTTCCTACGGGCTTCGTTCAAGCGGTTCCGAAGAGCCGGAAAGAATTGCGCTGTTCTGTATGGGATGGAGATAAGACTGCTTTTCTCCTTCCTTTTCCAACTGGTCTTTAAGGGTAATATGCCAAGCTTAAACCCGATATGTGGGCGATTTGTCTCTCTATCTCATTTTTCTGGAGGGAATGGGATCTTTGAAAGTTTGCCTGCAAGTCCAGAATTGGTAAATTGCCACCTGTATGGATTATGAACGGTTCCAGAAAAACAATTGTCTTCTTAAAGAACAAGTAATCAGAGTAAAAAGAGTGTTACTAAACATACACTATTCAAGAGGGTTACTATACTATGTTTACTGTACATAACAAAAAAAATATAATAGATTAAAACATCTATATTTTTCTCTTATGTTATGAGTGCCATACATAATTAAGAAAACTCGATTCCAAAAATGGTGACATGAACAATTAATTATGCAACTTAGATTTTCATTATTTTACTTAAAAGACATATTCTCTAAATCAAAATGACCATTCAATTCTGACTTAATGGATAATTAATGCCCAGTTTTGTTTAGGCTGCTATTTGGTGATCCTGACCTCTGTATGCTAAACTCCTAGTTACATGTATTGTACAGAATTCCTGCCATCTAAGCAGTTGATTTTCTGTACTGTAACAAATTTATATATGCAAAACTTTATATTCATATACTTACAAAGACACACACAAAGACATACCACACACAAATATGTATTTATCGTATGCATATATACATACATAGATATGGACTTCAGACTTTATTTTATGCATCCCACTACTACAGATGATTATGATTGTATTGTTCTAACACATTACAAAATATATTTTTTTCAAAATCTTGAATATGTATATTTTGGGGAGAAATGACCTAATGAAATATTTTTGTGGAAGCATATAGGTCTTGCAGTAATTTAAATACACACACAGTCACACACACACACATATATTCTGGCATATTTATTTTATGCATCCCACTGCTACAGTTGATTATGATTGTATTGTCCTAACACATTTCAAAATATCTTTTTTTCAAATATGTATGTTTTGGGGGGAAATGACCAAATGAAATATTTTTGTGAAAGCATATAGGTCTTGCAGTAATTTAAACACACATGCACGTGTGTGCGCGCATGCACACACACACACAAACACATTCTGGCATAATTTTTTGTAGGCAACTTCTTCCATTTCCATGAGTTGTCACTTCATATGCAGCCTCTTTTAGTTGTATCCTGATAACACGCCAAATACTTAAAACAAAGAACTTGCATTATGATACCACAACACACTTTTTTATATATGTCTACCTCCTTCACTACCCCCAGCTTCCTTTGTGAACCCCTTTGGTTAAGGCAGCATTTCATATATGTGGCCAAACAGCAATAATAAAGGAAAACTATTCAATATCATGTAGATTTCTGGCCCCTTAGAAGGAACGTAAGAAATTGATCATGGTTATTGCTAGTAGGAAATCAGGCATACTTGCAGATTACCTACAAATCAGTTCAATTATACATATATTTGTCATTGTTTGTTTTATATGTTACACTTTTGTTAGTAAACTGCTTTGAAAAATGGTGCGACAGATGATTTTTTTTAATAGTCGGCTCTCCTCATCTTGCCAGAAAGACATCTCGTTTTTATGAATTAGTTTCACGCGTTGAGTAAAGTAAGAGAACGAGGGGCATGCATGTATGCCAAACTTCTCTAATAATAGCAACGACGACAATAAGCAGCCAATGGTCGCTGGCATTTTTCCAATAGGGCTACTAGTAAAGTTCCTTTCAGCCAATGGTTGACCGCTTTTCAGCCTCGGCTCGCGACCTGTGTCCTGTTGCCACGGTGATAGAACGAGATAATCCCGCCCAGCCATCGCTCCGCCTTTTTTTTTTTTTTTCCCCCTTCCCAGAACAAAAATCCGTAGAGCGGCTCGAGTCGAAATCTCGCGAAGCTACAGAGGAGTCTCGTGGCGAGCTGGGTTCCAGCTCTGTCAAAAGATTCTGGCGGCCTCCTCGATGGTGGCTGGAGAGCGAGAGAAGCGGCTCGGCGCTAGAGTGAGTTTGGGGAACAAACCGGAGCAAGCCAGCGGGGGGGGGGAGTGAGGGGGGGCGCGGCCGAGGNGGGGGGGGCGCGGCCGAGGAGAGCTTCGCGAGTCCTTGCGCGAGGCTGGACGGACCGGAGGAAAGACGGAGTGTGGGGGGAGTGGCCTGTCTCTTGCCTGGCATTCTGTAATAAGGCGCTGCTGAAGAGTTGAGACTCCGGCGGCTTTAGGGCGAAAGAGATTCCTTCTCCCCACCCTGGCAGACGCTTCCCGAAGCCCTTAAGAAGCGGGCGAATTGAGGGGGGGGAAAGCAGGAGGCTCCCGAAGAGGCGGAGATGTTCCTTCCGGACCGGGTTTCCAAATTTCTTGACAGTCCAGTGTTTCTCAACCTTGACCATTTTAAGGCATGTGGACTTCAACTCCCAGAATTCCACAGCCAGCATTGCTGGCTGTGGAATTCTGGGAGTTGAAGTCCACATGCCTTAAAATGGTCAAGGTTGAGAAACACTGCTTTACACTAATCTGGCGGGCCTTCTCTGGCGTTCCCCTCGGAGCTCGCGCTCTCCTCTGCCCTCTCTCTTTCCTGTTGTCGGGATTGCAAACCTCCTCGGAGGTGGTGCGTTCAATGTCGTGTAAAGAAACGAGCAAGCCGGCACTGGGTCCGCTGCCCGCAGGGGACTGAGTTTTATAGCCCTGGCCAACTTCCTACGCCGAGGCTAAATTCGGTTTAACTTAACGCAGGGAGCCTCCTCCGTTATTTGCGGCGTAACGGAGCATGGAGCGCCTTTCTGTGGTTTCGCTTTTGTGTCTCTTCTCTCTTAACCCCGCTGCCCCCCAAAAAGCCCTACTTAGCAAATTACGGTTATGAGGGATTGATGTTACCTTTTAGGTCAGGGGTCCTCAACCTTGGCAACTTTTAAGACTTGTGGACTTCAACTCCCAGAATTCCTCAGCCAGCTTTGCTGGCTGAGGAATTCTGGGAATTGAAGTCCACAAGTCTTAAAATTGCCAAGGTTGAGGACCCCTGTTTTAGGTTGGAGTTGCCTGCTTCTGACTGATGAAAAGCAGCGTGTATTCATCTCTTGTCCTGCGATTTCAGGACCCGGGGAAAGAATTGCTGCTCCCTAGGTATTGTAAGACTCTGGGACTCTTTCTGCCTTCAGAATCTATAGATTTAAGATAGGTTAAGATATGCAGTCACTGTGGCGTTTCTATGAAAACACGCTGCCTCTCTGCATGTTTAGGATCCAATCAGTTTAGTGTTTATAAAATTATGTTTGAAGCACGATGGGGAAAGGTATGGAATAATCCTAATTTTCATATGAAGCCTATAGCAGTATAGAACCACTCTGTAATTATTTAAAGGAGAAAAAAAAAACCTGTGTTCTACAGAAAAGCAAATCTACACTCTTGTTGAAATTTAAATAAATCACAGATGCTTATTTCTCAGGGCATTTTTATGCAAAATTAGCCTATTCCTGTCATGTTTACGAAGATCACATTTACTGCTAAACTATTAATGACATGCTTTCAATCTGTGTTATCAAGTTGGTCTTGACATCCCAGTGGTATAAACTTTTTCAGAAGAGTATCTCTGACTTATTTTCCAGGAGGAAAACCTTTCTATATTTATTTAATATTAATTCAGTATGTTTAAACTGTATGCAGTTTTGTTGCTTTGTTACAAGAGTGATAGAACGTGGTATATGGTGATTACTTCAGTCACAAAGCAGAATTATTTTATATCCAACACAGGTGTGATGGCCCATTACTACAAGAAGATACTAGTAATATTGTTTACTTTTCAAGGACTTCTTATAACAAGTGCTTTTAATGAGGATGGGGATATACCTGAAGAATGGATTCTCCTGCATGTAGTTCAAGGTCAGATTGGTGCTGGAAATTACAGCTACTTGAGACTAAATCATGAAGGGAAAATAGTGCTTCAGATGCAGAGTTTAAAAGGTGATGCAGACTTGTATGTATCTGATGTAACTCTTCATCCCAGTTTTGATGATTATGAATTACAGTCTGCAACTTGTGGTCAAGATGTGGTTTATGTGCCAGCACACTTTCGTCGCCCAGTGGGAATAGGAATTTATGGTCATCCCTCTCATATGGAAAGTGAATTTGAAATGAAAGTGTACTATGATCAAACAGTTGTAGAATCTCCATTTGGTGGTGGCTCATACAATCCAGAAGAAATGAAAATGAACCAGAAGAAGTTTCATTCAACAGAAGATGAGTATCAAGACGAGGAATCCGTCTTCTGGACTATATTGATTGGAATACTAAAATTAATACTTGAAATTCTCTTTTAGATTTATAGCTTTGGGTGTGAGCAATCTGTACAACTGATTGAATGCTGTTCTAAGCTGTGGATTGGAAAATAAAGCCATAATTATTTTTATAATGTAAACTTTTCCCAGTGCTATATTGTAGCAGGCACAGTATTTGTATGGTTTTCTCTTAACTGATCAGGGTTAACGGATGCTACAATTCACTGTGATTTTTCAATAAAACTTCAAAATTGTAGAAATATGAATTCATGCTCAGTATTTCAACACATTTGTTAATATATTCACAAATAATGTTATATATATATATATTAAGATAGATATAGACTATCTTCTTTGGCCAAAATAGAAATACTTACATGAGAAAGATTTGAAGAATGGATTCTGGAAAAGAGTTCATCTGCTTTTCCAACCACCATTAACCACCTATTATTTGAAGCAACCCGAATACAGAATTACCTATAGGTAAGCATGAAGATTTCAAACATGAAATGTTGACGTTAGAACATTTAGCCCACTCTAATTTCAAATCATTTTCCACAGTGCAAGCCCATCTATATCTACTTAAAAATCATGTAATCATCACCTACTAGGAAGTACCACCATACTGGCATTTTCAGGAAACAATACCTGAGCTTCCTTGTTCCAGAATTCCTCCAACTTCTGTGAGATGTTTTCACATGTGATCTGGAAAAGACCTTGAGATCACTGGAAAGACAGAAGCTGAAATGTTTTGAAAATGAATACAGTATGTTCTGAATAAACGCTTTGAAGAGGAAAAATACTAGGAAAAAACTCTAATATTGCATCACCAGGAAAGGCCATAAGAAAAAAAGGACTGTAAGTTGAAATTTTTGCCACGTCTACATTAATTTCAAGAAGCTGTTTAGCAACCACGTACTGCATTATACTAGAAAGCAAGTCCCTTATCACTGCATGGAACACTACCATGTTTCCAAATCTGAGTTGCTCTCTTAAGATTTTGGCATGCATTTCTTACTCATTTTCTGGCCTTAGCATACAGAAGAAATGAAACAAGAGTATCAATAAGAAATTAGTAGAACGATAGCTTCTGTGTTTTTGTTCTAAAGTGTGTGATAGCTATCTAGACAGCTGGAATGGCCAGAGATTCCTTGTAGATGGAAAGAAATGAGAATTATTCAAGAGTCCACTTGACTTAAATTAAGCTTGGTTCCTACAATACACTTTAATTTCACAATAATAGCATCATATTCAAACAAATAAGATGCTAATTGATTATGCAAGAAACTTGTATACTTAGTGAAGTGTTTTATTTTGTGATTTAGAGAAACTGTTACTCTACTAATACTCTTGAATTTAATAATAAATCAATATTTTCCTTTGAATAGGATGGAGGACAAAAGTAATTACTCTGCGGTTTTCTATAAAAATGATTATTATGCAGAACAGAATCTATAAAACAAATTATAAAAGTACAGAATACAGATATGTTCACCTCTGTCTTTAATGCAACAAAAGATACTGAATAACCTTCCTCACCATGTTAAAATTAAAAAGAGTTTTATTTGGTGAAACTGTTTTTGAGTGGTGTTTTTCCTTGTACAGTGGTAAATAGAGTAGCACCAAGTTTAGCACTAGTTTTTATGAAGTTAATATGCAGTTATCCTTCTTTGCTGTTCTTCCCTCTTCTTCCTCTGCCCCTGGGAATTGGGGGTTGTCTTTCACAACAGTCACAAATCCAGCGACCTACAAAATTAGAGCTGTCAATTAAAAGAAGACCAATTGCCAAGTAGTCTAAAAAGGCTACTGTAGCTGTATGTGGGAAGTGGGGATATTAATAAGTAGCAAAATTGTTTTATAAATTACATTTGTAACTCTAGGTTTTTATGCCCTGCTGTTAAAAAAGACACTACACTAAAGTGATTCAATTATATTCCAGTAATGAATGTACTTGGATTTAAGATAATACATTCATATTCACTCCCCTAAATAAATTTAAGATGCTGTAGCATAAACTAATGAAATATTTAGCTACACTCAGAATGTCAGTAGAATGGATAATTAACACAAGATCAGTATTCACTTCACATAATGCCCAACTTTTAGACGTGCAATCTTTTCAAAAGAAAAAAAGCAATCTAAATCTTGAATTTTAGTTCAGCCTCTGAACAAGTGTAATTGATATAATTACCTGAAGGGATAGCACCAAGCCCCACACAAAATGTATGATAGCCACGATCACACACATCACAAAACATCATTTCTTCCTCATGGTGAGGCTGCCCGCATATAATGCATGTTTTACACTCCATACATTGCCAAGGATAGGTCTTAATTATTGCAACAAGCTCTGCAGACATATCCAAACAGGAAGGATGTCCTAAATCAAAACCAGTATCATTACTAGAATGGATATATGAAGGATCCTGACAAGACTAAAATGATTTTACAGAATTTACTTTAATTCAGTGTATCAAATGTGCTAATTAAACTTTAGATACTGCAAAAATGTAGTTTGATTGTTATTTTTGTTTCAGTTTAAATATATAGACATGTTTAAAGCAGATTTGTTACTTACCACTGTTTTCACATTGGGAGCAGTGTATAAGTGCTTCAGACTTCCCTTTCTTGTTGGACTCCTTACCCTTCAGACAAATTCCACATATAGCATTTGGAATGACCTTTGGCTGGAAGGGTAGAAGAGGGCTATAAATTCATTCCGGAAGAATTGATACAGGGTTTTTTTTTTTTTTCAAAAACGTGTGTTATTTAAATTTCTATAAATCAAACCTGGGTGGTGTAGAACAGGATATGATTACAAATTGGCAGGTATTGATTATATGGAAAAGTGGAATAGAGACTATTTTAAACACATGCAAAGTGAAATAATATAATAATGTATAATAATACTCATAATATTCCATAAAAATCACAACTAATCAATGAATTTCAAAAGGATAATTGAATTTCTAATCTCCTTATGTAAGATGAATGTGTATGAAATCTCTAACACATAATTCTTCAAATGTAAATTAAGTTAATTATATTAGCCATCCATGCAGTATAATATAGAAATTATATACTGAAAATTCTGAGTATATTTTTGTCTGATGCAAAGACTGATTAAAAATAATTGTATGTAGATATAAAATTGTATGTAGATATAAGCAAACAAGTTGAAATTGGTACTTCTTTGTGAGGATAAGGACCAACAAATATCAATTGCAAACAATTTTTACATCTGCACAGAAAACAAATTTTACACATCTATATTTGTTCCATGGATTGCATCCATTACACTATGTCTTCCTAAACTGAATCTATATTTTCAATTTGTATAAACAATACAAATTGTTTGACTGTGTCTGACAAAATGAGAAAATTATAAGGAGTATCTCATGGTAATAACATTATTAGAATTTTAAGTATCTTCCCTAATCATAATCTTGTACCAATTATGTCAACCAGGGCTTTTTCTGCATGTAAGAGCAACTACTATCATTTGAAAAGAATGTTATGTCATTTCAATTCCAAAACCCTCCTGCCATCAACACTGCTCCACATCTTTGGGGAATCCTAGAGTGTAGATTTGAGATCAATGTTGGAGGGAGAAAAATACAAGTTCCTCTGATCAAGTAACATTGGAGAATCAAAAGTACTCCAGATACTTAATATAATTTTTATGTGAATTATAATGAAAGCATTTTTGCAAATTACTTTTAAATAAATTGCCTCCTAACCTTAAATATGCAGCTCTTGGCTTGTTTGAATTGTTATTGTAATAAGAATTGCCAAAATTTATCAAACAGATGGGTAAAACTGAACAATTTTTCTTTCAAATTTAGATACATTTCCAATTAAAACTTTAACATGTAACAGAAAACAAAGTACATTTGTATAACATTTGAATTGTGTAGCTGAACCACACGTATGCTACCCTAATAATTATTTTGCCCTCTGAATATCTGAATTTGTAAAAAGCCACAAATTATTTAACAAAACTAAATCAGGTACAATAATTTATATATTATAATAAAATAAATTTTAATCTTATTACTAAGATATAGTTTGCACGTTTTTGTTTTCCCTCCATTTATGTTCAACGTCAAAAGTCCTGCCTTTATGTGATATTGAGGAAGAGAGCACTAATGTTTGACATTGATAAATCAGAACATGAAGGAAATGATGCTGGTGAAATTCTAGAACAGAGGTAGGTACTTTTTAAGCTGAGTTAGGCCTTAAATAGTTGTCTATTGTTCATGTTGTAACAGTAAATTTCCTGCACCAGCAGGAAAAGACACTAAATGAATCCAACACAACCTCTAACTCTGATACCAATTTCTTCTCATATAACATTGACAACATGGAAACATGGGTGGATGGTTGCTTACTTTATCTGAATGGCTACAAATTACAAAGTAATAATTGTAACAACAGTTTGCTCTTAACAGAAAAACAGTATATCAAAGTAAGAACAAAAACATTTAATTGCTGAAAGAATGAAAAGTGCAGGCATCACTGCTATACACGTCTCTATCTGGAGTATTTTAATAATGCTGAGAGAAGCAAGAGTAGATTTGAATTCTTCTGATTAAAAATAAATTTAGCTCTAGAAAATTGCAGTTATTAACTAAATAAATATAAAATTCAAAGGAGTTAATATGTGTTTACTATGTATTAGCCTAATTTCAGAATTTTTTATGTAGTATGCTCGGCCTCCACAGTTTTGTTTAAACACCCACAAGGCATTTATAAATAGCTCTTTTTTAAAAGATGACAGAGGCATTCAATATTTTTGCTTATTTATTTTTTTAAAAAAATCATAGTCCACCTGTTTTATACATAAATATAATGAAATGATAAAGGAGTCTAACATTCACAAATATCTCTACAAAATAATAAATAACCGTGGTGGAAACAGACATATATTTTTATTTACTATTCTAATCCTACTTGCATACCTTTTTATACCCTGCTCCTCCCAAAGAAAGGAATAAACCCAATTCTGCAGCATTCACCTTTTGTACTGCTACATTCTATAAAGTTCACTGTTTTTAAGCTATATCAAGATAACAATTAGAAAATACACTTGCTATTTCTTTTATTGTATGCATACTTACTGCTACGGTATGAAGCAGCAAGCTGCCTCTCAATCACCCAATGCAAAACTACTTTTCCGTTGCTATACCTGTACTGAGTTAAGTGCAGTTACTATTTCTGTGCAGTCTAGGTACTGCACCAGCCAAGAGGCATTTAACAATAATGCTTTCCCCAAATCTCTATTCTATAAATCTAGGAATAAAATAGTCACAATATACTAATTTAAAAGAACATCCAAAAATGGATGTATCTCCTATAGAAATGAGGAAAAAAGTCTATTCATATTTAGGAACGATTCTAAAAAGAAAAAAAAATGATATTGGGGGATCACTGGAAAACATTGCCTGTCTGATTTAGTGATGTTTTGGTCATTTTCAAGTTAACAAGCAAAAGAATAGTAAGATTTTCAACCCTACTGCTTCAAAAAATCATTTTAGACTAAAACTGTAATCCTGTATTCCGGCCAAGATCATATTCACTTGTCAGTTCTAAATAAAGCAAGGGCAATGAGTCTTGATGCCTGGCTTCAGTGACTTCGGGACTTGTTCAGCCAGTTTTTTGGTTTTCATGAAACTGATTCAAGTAAACCAAGAAGTCTTCTCCAAAGCTGGAGAAGCAAAGAGTGGACAGAAAGCTCCTCTGAAGCAAGAGAAACAGTCAATAGGAGAACATGTTCCATCTTCACACTTCAATAAAGCTTTGTGCTTTGTGTATTGGATATAAAATGATATGTCTGAACCACACCAATGGAATTTGTAGCTTATTCTCAAATACATAAGCATGCTGTATTTCCAGAAATTACATTGGCTGGAAACGAGCCTGCCTTCTTTTCTAAGCAAATTAACATAAATCAGAGAGTTACAGAATGCAAAGAAAGAGTGGGATAATCAGTTAACAGACTTGTACTTCAGTCTTGTTTTATACTGAAATATGCAGATCTGGATCTCTCCCTTACTCTGAGAATACTGCCATGACAATTATAGTCATCAGTCCTTCATCTTTTAGAACAATAGCTATTGAGGAAGGATAATAGGAATGATGCCCCCATTAAAAAAAGACAGATGGTTTAACAAATTAATAAAAATCAACCTGCCTGCTTAGAAAAAAGGTAAATATAAGAAACCCATTTGTAATACTTGCAATATATGTACTAACATTTTGCTTATCTTTCCTAAAAGCTCTTACGGTTAAATTTTAGTTTTAAAATGTAAATAGAGAAATAATCTAATATATGGGGTGACTACTATGCAATAAAATCATTGTAACTTTTAATGGTTCCTGGGAATATTTAAATCCCCATTTGTAGGCTTATTTAGGCACATGATGTATCAAATGCAGTCAATAACTGATAAAGATGTTCATACTATATTAGTTCTATAATATACATTGTATTAGATATTTAAAACTAGTTCTTACATAGAGTTAGCTACTCTAAAGTGAAAAAATGCACTGTTTTATTTTCTAATCAGTCTGTATTTTGTTTTTGGGACCAAAATGCCCCTGATAATCCTCATATTCTAACCTCATTAAGATTTGCATTAAAGAATTCTCAGTACTTCTCCATAGATCAACTATATATGGATGGGTTTGAACCAGTAACTAGTAATATAAAATAAAATAAAATTACCTTTAGCGATCAAAAGCTTGTATATTGGTTTTTGATACAGTGCCTTCACAAGAAACTAGCCAGGCATTGCTATATGCATGGTTTTTTCTCACATAATACCTCAAGTTCAAAATTTTATAATGCTTTCCTAAGCTTCATCTTTGGATTTCATAAGTTAATCATATAAATTACTAGCACACACTTGAAGCTGCAATGAAATAAAACATTTTGCAAGGCTGTTATGTAAAAATAGACATGTCTACAAAAAAACTAAACATTTTCTCTATCATCTTAAAAAGCTTCTCCTTAAAAGAAATGGTTTCTAGCATTCAATATTTTTGTACAAGTATCTGAAATCATGCATTTATGCAGTTAAATTGTATTTGGAATCTTCTTTTTTTTCAAAGAAAGCTACTCAATTCTAACTGAAAAGTGACTGGAGTCCTGTACTTTGAATGATTCAGTAATACATTCAATATATAAGTTACGTAGTTTGAAAATGGCTTACGATATTTCAAAATCATGTTACTTGCATTATGTAACTTCTCAGGCTTGATACTACCTAATCACTTTTTCGATCACAGAACTAATTCCTTAATTTTCCTCCTTATAACCCTTCAAACACGTAAACATATGCCTTATTCTGTGTAAGCAAAATTTGCTGGTAAACAAATGTTATTGGTAAACAAATAGCTTCCAGCTTCTTATTTTCTTTATCCTCAATAAAAATTACAGTCTAAAATTTCAGTTAATTCTAAACTGAAGTTCACCAGTAATACTGACAATTAAAAGATGTTATATAATGATCACTGTTTAAAATATCCTTAAGTCCTGGTAAGCTTAAACCACTCCCTCTGTGCCATTTGCTTAGAGGTACAAAACCAAAACTATACCAGTAGAGTATCTCACTTGGAGCCCACCGTCTCTCCAAATCCTCTGTCCCCAAACTACTTTTTAAACTGCAAAATGATGGCCTGTTGCACGGTTCTATTCTACAAGGTTAGCACAACCTTCTTTCAAATAAGTTCATCTATCTTCTCATTCTGGCATTCTTCATAAAATGAGGAGAGAAATAGGGAAAAGAACCTAGTCCAAGGCCAACTTGTGACCTTCACTGCACCTAACAGTGAGGGTTTCATTAGACTACCTGAATATTTCTTCCTAAAAAAACGAACATGGCTCAAGCCAAATCTCGTCCTCCCAACTTCCTACACGTGGGGAATTGTTTTAAGATTGCCAACACCAAATTATATTATAAACAGATTACATACTTTTCATCTGGAAAAAGTTAAGAAAATATAAATATGTATGTACAATATTCTAGCTGCATTTTACAGTGCTTGTCCAGTCCATACTGGTCAGCAAGCTATTTTAAGCTAAAACACAATGTTATATTTGAAATGTAACTATCAACCTTTTGAAGCCCGGAGAACAAAGCCATTTTCCTCCACCCTGGCAAAAAAAGAGGGAGAAAACCCATCTTAATAATGAGATCTCATGCTGCAATTGCTCAGGAACCATTTAGGTACAGAAAATAGAAGCCACTCCACAGCCAGGGTAACAGTAAGGCCCCAGGTAAAATAAAGCAACAGGAAGTAAGGAAGCAAACAGGAATGCACAACAGGAGAGCAGCTAAGCAAGTATAGTAAGCAGACGTTCCAATATTTTGAAAAACAAAGTTAAATATTTCAGGGAGAGAAGCTGATCAGTAAAGAAGCTGAGTCAGGGGCTTTTTTCTTCTACCTTGTACCCAGGAACCGATTTGGATACAGATCGTTTGGAACCCTCTTTTCTTGGAGTAGAATTTCTCTCTCTTGTTTTTTGTTTTCCCTGCAAAGGTTCTTCCTGGTTTTCTGCTGTGCATTCACCTTCAGACACATTGCCAGATGAGTTGTCCTGTAACATGAAGGAAAAACCGTTTTTTTGCTTCTTTACATGGGAGGAGCAAAGACAAAACTTCGCTCATTAGTTTAGTGTATTGATATATATTCTTAGTATATTCTGACAAAGCCCGAGGATTCCGCCCAGCGTATATAAATAAATATTTAGAAAACATTATGATAAAAAGTATAATAATAGAATCTAAAACGTAATAAAAATCCAATAAACTGTATATAATAGACCAAACTATAGAAAACCCAGCACTCATTGCTGATATTAAACATATATCTGGAACACGCACATTTTGGTTTACCGAATTGCCTTTGATTTTCCGCTTTTCATCTGCTCGCTCTTCTACATCATCTGAATCTCCATCACTATCCAGCGCAGGCAGATCTGGGTCTAAGGGGGGCTCATAAAGAGCTGTATTTAGTGGCAAATATCGAAGTTCATCAGGAGAGTATCTAAAGTGAAGTAAAAAGTTTTAAACTTGCATTTCAAATTGAAATACATGTGGTGACAAAGCAAATTCAGTATTTTAGCAGTCATTTACAAAATTTAACCATATATTAGAAAGTGCTTAAAGGATGTTAATATGTGTATTTATACACAGTACATAATAAGTATACACAGTTATATGAGTACATAAATTAATCAAGTCTTAAGAATCAAATGTTACACCTGAACTAACATCCAGCCAGCAAAACTACAAACAACATTTAAAAAAAAACAACATTAGCTTAATCACAGCATATTTCTGGTACCTTTTATAGTACTCCTGAAACTGGCCTGGTATGAGAGACACTGGATAAGGGCTAACTTTTGTCCTTTCTGTAGGTAAGATTTTATATTTTCCTTGAGGCACCTGGATAATCTGTATTGTTAATACAAAAATAAGAAGCTCATTGCCCATATTTCTGAATTTCTTTTCTAAATAATCAAGAAATATTTCAATACATATCATATCCATGGATTTGCCATGCATACATCCTTTAACAATACATCATGTAACTTAAGGTACATGTTTGAATGATCCTATTATACCTCAAATACTAGATCACACAATTGATTTAAAACTCTAGATATTTTAGAGTATCTGAAACACAGATGTCTGCATTTATGTTCTGGATCAAATAATATGGCAAATGCACATAGTGTCATATAGGACAATATATAGTTAATACATGTAATGTAAAATTCTATCCTGTATCTAAAAATTCTGGTTGATAATTATGGATAGTAATTTTTGTCTATCAAGCTATAAAAATAATCATACTAAAAGAGGGGAATCAAAACAATATTTTTATGACATTACATTTTGCTTGAAGGCAAAAGATGAAAGAAAAGAGATTGTCACTCATCTTCCCTCGTATAAACAATTCAGAACCATATATTTACAGAATGTGGTTGTATTTTTTATAGGCTTCTGTGTTTAAATGTATTTTCTTTAATCTTGTCATAGCTGCTTACAAAATAAAACACTAAAACTATATTCATAGTTCAAATGCATTGGCAACCTAGATCATAACTGTTAATTTCATCTCATTTGAAAGCTAAAGTTGAACAATTGGATTGGGAATGAAAATATATATAATTCAGTTTTAGGCTTCGAAATAAGGAAACTTAACAATCAGGCTGAAAGCATCAAGACAATCTGTGAGTTCACAATGATTCGAATCTGAAGAACAATATTTCATTATTGTACATAAATGGGGAAAAAATATACTGGTCTGGAGAGTATATTTGATTTGAAAAAGCTAAATAAATAAAATCTTACAAATTAACTCTGAACGGTAACTGCAAAGCAGAACAAAGCTTGCTTGCTTTGCAATTAGAAGGAGGTCACATGGTTCAGCATAGCAACTTTGATGGAATGATTTGCTCAAATTTCTCAAATGTTTCTCCTGCTCCAAGAAAACTCATTTTCACTGTTGCACAAATATCAAACCCAATGTTACTTCGTGTCCACAATAGTGTAGATATTCACAAATAATTACAACTCAACTTTACTAGTATTGTTGCTAGTTATTGTTCCTTTAGTGTTTATGCAATGTTTGTGTCAACGCTGCTAACATCGGATGTTTTTGCATTGACAACAGATGGAAATGTAGCCATCTTTTACCTTTTGCTTTTAGAGTTAGATGATGCTGGGAGTGGGGGGATGTGAACGAGAGTCCAGCTAGACATAACAATACTAAACCCAGTGTGAGAAACAAGGTTATTGTAACAAGAGCTGATAAGGAATTGGCAGGCTGGAAAACTGAAGAGGAATCCGGCTTCAAGCTAATTGGGGAATGTGATTTATGACTGTTAATTGGAGGAGGGAATTGTGCTTTGATACTATTGTGCTCAGGGGAGGGGAATTCAATTTTAGGCTTCGATTATGCAGTGCCGATGTTATGCTACTCAAAATAAAGATTCTTTAAGGAAAACAATGCCTTGAAGTTCTTTTGAAGAGTTTCATCTGTCGGAACCATGACAGTTTGCACTTCTTGCATTTTTTCTTTCTAGTGTGACATTACCATAGATCTTTCAGAAAACGTTTCCCCAGATCGGATTACAAATAAGCATATGCTTATAGCAACTGAAACAAGAAAATGAAAGCTTCCTACATGTGTTTGTAAATCAAAATAGGCCCGTCTTTCTTCCATTCGTTCACGGTTTAAGTTGCTGTTGAATTCTGCAGCTTTCTTGGCAGCTTTCTTAATATATTCTGGAACTTTACTTGCTTCAACTTTTTGAGTATTCTGCTGCTGCAATTGCTGAAACAATTTATTTCTATTAGTTCACAAAAGCTGAAGAAATTTGATAGCTTACATATTATATTGCTCTGTATTTGTAAAATCATCATAAACAGTTACTTACAGAATACTCTTTATAGTGGTCAGTTATTCGTTGACGTTCTTTCTCTTGAAGTATAACCGAGTACTCTGCATGTTTGGCAGGGTATTCTTTAATCATCAGATCAATTACTTCATCACTGCGCAAGGCAGTTAGACCTAAAGTATATCAAAAACAATTAAGCGGTTTTGTAAAAAAAAATAATCAAGAAGATAAAATTAAGATTTTTGCTTTTGTGCTTAGCCTTTTTTAGATGCTTGTAACAATCTAAAGTTGTCAGATTAGTATAAGGAGAGAGAGGGAGGGAGGGAGAGGGAGAGGGAGAGAAGCAATAAGGAAAACACATTTCTAAATTGATTCTGTTCCAACTCCTCCCAACCCATTTCTATCTTACGGCATTCTAAATAGCAAACATATTATATTCTAGGAATTAGAGTTTAAATTGCATTTTCTCTAAATCATGGAACAAACTAAATTTAACAATCTTTTGAAGGATACTTTTCAGATCTTCACAATTTTATTAGAACAAACTTCCAAAAATATATAATTGCTTACATACAATTTCCCAGAGACACTTATTCTGAGATTGGGAGGGTATATAAATATGATGAATAGATACATACAGTAGGTAGGTAAGTAGGTAGATACAACATGTGCCTTTTTTGTCCTTACCTAAAGTACACTGTGTTTCCGTAATGACATTTAATTCTCTGAGGTAAAGTTTCTCTTTGTGAGAAAGATCTCGTCTTTCTAAATCTCCAAGAAAACAATGGGAAAAATAGTAAGAAAACAAAAAGGATTTCAAAATATATAATATTAAAATTAAATTTCCATCAAAAGCTTGAATTAAAAAGCTAATGCTGCTTCTGTGGGGAAAAGGTAATGTTTCATTTGAATTGAGCTTGGTTTTTACTGAATTCATAAATATATAAATATATCTATGTATGTAGCTTTCCTGGCTCCAGTACAGAAGTGGTTTGTTGTGCCTTCTTTCATGTTCTCTTTTTAACTTCCCAGTCTAGCTTACAGCTCTTGCTTTTCCTCCTGGAAGGATGAGGTCCTAACCAGATCCAACTCTACTTAGCTTTTAAAATCAGCTAAGATTGGAACACCATACCCCACAAAAATAGTGCCAGAAATAGCATACTTATTGCAACTGCCAAATCTGAGAAACATGTTTGTGTGTGGGAAAAATAAAACAATGCTGTTTGTTCTAGTGCTCTTTTCCATGAACTAAAGCACACATGCAAATCCATGTATATAAAAATAAGAAAGAGCTGCAAGACAGTTCCAATTTCAAATTGGGGTGACTTCAAAGAATTAAAGAAGCAATAGCATAAGCCTGAGTGGATTAATATTGACTGCATTTTCTCTGAAACATAAAACATATTGACTTGTTCTTATCACAAAACACACAACTTCCAAACATATGCTAACCTCTCACATCTGAGCATAGAGCAGATATGAAACTCTGCACTATTTCAACATTATCTGTTTCAGTGCTAATGGCGTGTATTAACCAGATGTAACAGATTTGGAAAGAGTTCAAAGAGTTACACTGCAGCCATTTATTGAATTCAAATCTGTGAAGTGTGGGTAAGTCAAAAGGGTTCCAAAGGTTATGGAGATAGCAGTCATTGGATGCATATAAGAGATCCACCTGCAAGCATTTCCAAACAAAAGCAACAAACCACTAAGACATTTGATCATCTATATGCTTGGAGGCACTTTTAAGACATGTGAACAAGCCTGCCTGCCTGCACTGTATGTATATTTTTTACATTTCATGTAAGTATTTTTAACATGAATACCTGGATATTTTCGCTTAAAGGAGGTTACCCCCAAGTATTCACTAACTTGTTCTTGAAGCATATAATATTCTCCTGTTTCATCGGGTGGCCATTTGTATTCTATCAGGTTTTCAGCTGGAAAATAACTAAAACTAAACACAGAAAATCAAATATTAAATTATAAGAATTTAGCACTACCATCCAAACAGAACCCACATTCAATGCCATGTGTTCTGTAGTAACACTTTTATACATCTATATTCTTAATCATTTCTGAGCTCACTCAAGTGGAAAAATCGTGTACACATTTATTATTAGATATTTCGCCTAGTTACTCTGTAAGTAACTCAAAATGCTGAATATACATAATACATCTTCCTCCTATTTTCCCCAACATAAGGTTGATTTAATTACTCTAAAATACACTTTCTATTCCCCATTTTGAACTATCAAGAAGTATCAATGTCCTCTTTTCAAATTCTTCTGCTGGCTATCTTTATATATTGGTAGCACATTTCACAGTTCTAATTCATGAGGTTTCTGTAATACCATCAACACCCTAGTAAATAAAACAACAAGGACCATGCATTTATTTTTGTTGAAAAAACAATATATCAAACTAGAACAACTTTTTTAAAAACGGCAATACCTAAGATCTTGACTTGAAGTCTCACAACTTCGTGAGCTGTCTCCTGAGCCCATGCGGCGCCTTTTAGATGGTTGGCTGCCATCATTTGAATTTTCTTCTATGTCATCCTGAGATGATACCATAATGTCAAGTGTTGAGCAACAAAATGTCAAGACCAAGAGCACACTTATCAAGAATATGAAGTATTTGGATTTGAAAACCTTAACGAAACTGTGAACATCTACACCTTACTCTGGGATTTTTCACTGCTCTTTATCCATCAAATTAAAAAATAAGTCAAGGAGTTACACAGGGCCATGATATCTTTAGGGAAATCAACAAACCTAATAGGTAGAGGTACTGTACTCTAGAATCTCTGATAATGCTATACAGCATGTTGGAATTGGTTACAGGTAACCCTCAACTTACAACAGGGGTCTTCCATCTTGGCCCCTTTATGACTTGTGGACTTCAACTCCCAGAATTCCTCAGCCAGCATGCCTGGCTGAGGAATTCTGGGAGTTGAAGTCCACAAGTCATAAAGGGGCCAAGATGGAAGACCCCTGACTTACAACCACAATTGAGCCCAAAATTTCTGTTGCTAAGAGAACTTTGCCCCATTTTACGACCTTTTGTGCCACAGTTAAGTGAATCACTGCAGTTCTTAGTAATATAGCTGTTAAGTGAATTTGTCTTCCCCATTGATTTTGCTTGTCAGAAGGTCGCAAAAGGGGGTCACATGAACTAGGACACTGCATCATAAATATGAACCAGTTGGCATGCATCCAAATTTTGGTCCAGGGATGCTGCAACAATTGTTAAGTGTGAAAAAGTCGTAAGTCACTTTTCAGTGCCGCTGCAACTTTGAACAGTCACTAAACGAATGGTTGTAAGTCGATGACAGTTCTTGGCTCGCACATAGTTAAGAATCACACTTTAAAAAATAAAATAGTACTGTAACTCTGAAGGCGATCCTAAAGCAATTTAAACTTCAAAAATCTGAAATCAATGTGACTTCTTAATATATACGTTTGATGCTTGAATGCAGATAGCCAGGTAGGGGATGCCAGCGTTATTTTCTTTTTATATCAATCAGCATGGGACCTTCATATTCTGTAGGACAAATAGTTGCTAGCTACAATAGCTTTCCCAGCATTACATTAAAGGTGTTAGTTACCACCTTTAAAGCGCTCCATGGCATAGGACCTGGCTATCTCCGAGACCGCCTTCTGCCACAGATTCCCTCCCATAGACCGGTACGCTCCCACAGAGTGGGTCTCCTCAGGGTGCCGTCGGCCAAGCAATGTCGGCTGGCGACCCCCAGGGGGAGGGCCTTCTCTGTGGGTGCCCCTGCCCTCTGGAATGATCTACCCCCC